GGATAAGTCTAATGAATAAATTATCGAGTAAAAATTATAATTTTAAGAAGATTAAAAGAAAACAACGAATAGTATGAAACAGTCATTATTATTTTTTTTATGTAATTATGCTATTTTACAGATTAAATTGTAAGAAATGATTGATATTTTTAGATAAACATATTATCATGGGGGACGATATTGATGATTTCATTCAAACTTCAACTTTACATCTTCCTCAAGCAGAAACACCGACACAGGTCAATAACGATCCTCTGTTTTCTTACGTAGGTTTACTCCGAAAAAAAAATTTGACAATTCAACTGTTTTATTTTCTTATTAGATAAAAAACTTCTTACGCGATCCTACAGCTACTACGTTTGATATACGATCATTCAATAATACTGATGGTGTTAATAGAAATACTTCTCATGCTACACTCAGTCCATCTATTGATCGTAAGTTGAAAAAGTTTTAATAATATAAGCCTATAGGTTTATCCTGTAGTGTCATATTTGCTAAGCGAAAAATATAATTTATGTTTTATAACTTAATATTATTAAAAATAATTGTACATACATTATTTTAAATGAGTTCTAAATCTAACGTAGAAAGATGAATAATTATCTCTTTGTTTTTTCTTTTCGAAAAATATTTCTCCATCAACTGTAAAGAATAAATGTTGTGTTAATAAAATATTTTTTTATATACTTATCTGTATCGTTTTAGTTTATCAACCTTCAAAAACGGTATATCCAGTATATACTATTCCAAGTATGTTTGAATAAAAAATAAAATTGACAAATATTAACATATTTCTTTAATAGTCACAAATGAAAATCAAATATTAAGTGAAGAACAAGTGACACATACTAAACCGAGTATGTACATATCTTATTTTTCAATAATAAATTGTTGTTATTTTTGCGTTTTTTAATTTTAGTAACACAATTTGATTGTTCACAATTTGTGAAAATTAAAATTATTACTCATCCACGTATAAAATTTCGTCCACGAACTGAAAAAGAAAGCAAAGAATCATCACATTTTTTACGATGTGAAGATAATATTGCACCAGCATATCCAACTATTTATGTATAGTCTTAATTATTAATATAAATAATTAATAAACATTATTTTTGATTTCATAGATTCCTCAAATATGGGCTAAGGAAGACAATTTTATTCAAGTAACTCTAGTTGGAATTGATAAACAACCTCATCCATATACTATTGATAATAAAGAATGTAATATATCACCATTAATTTTAAAACTAAATGAATCGCATTCATTATATTTTCATGTGACTAAAGAAGATTACGATAACGGCGAAAAGAGGTAAATCAATTTTGAAATTCTTAAATTTTATACTTTCGTTTTTTTTAATTTTCTTAGTTTTTTAATTGAATATATTAAAAGTAAGCAAGATGATGTAATAACAAAACAATTAATACAAACTCGACAACTTTATCAATCAATGCTTCGTTTTACACGTTTTTATTTAACTGCAGATGGTTCATATCAACCAGATGAAGCTAGTATCGAATATTCTTCTATTATGACTGAACGTAATAAGAAAGAATTTTTTTTATTATTTAATTGAAAAAATTTTTCTTTTCAGACTATGGTGACTTTACTATTGAAGATATATTTCCATTATATGGACCATTATGTGGAAATCAAAAAGTTTGTATCGAATTGAAAGGTCCAATTACAAAAAATTTCAAAACTGATCTTACTATTACTATAACGTGCAATGAAATTAACTGGTCATATCAAGTTGATAATATAAGAAAAAGTGGAAGTAATTTGACGTTTCTTATGCCATCATTTCCTCATCCAAATATGAATCGTGCTAAAGTTAGCATTATTATTGAATACAAACAGGACATAATTCATCAATCCAATTATATATACACAAAAAAATTAGATGGTATTTATAAAAAAAAATCTGATTATTATATATATTTTTTTTCTCATATTCTTTTTTTGTTCTAGAAGAATTAGTTGAAAATAATTGGAATCAATCAAATTCAATGGTTGCTGTTGGATCTTCATTATCAAATAATTGTGGTAAAATACCTGGTGCATTTCCTATTTGGTCTTCTACTGAAACGACATGTGAAAACCATGGTGCAAAACGCCTTAAAAAATAAAAACTTTACTTTTAGTGTTCTTTTAATTTAATCTGGATGTTTTTGGAGAAAAATAAAATTTCCCTTTATATGGAATTTTTACTAACGAGGGAAATACCCAAAGTGTTCCCTCGACTTAGAGCTCATATTTTTCCCACAAGTAGATCTTAATGTTAATAGCCAAAGCCTAAAAGGATTCTTGCCCATGAGTTGTTGAAGTCGACTTATGACCATGTCCCTAGATTTTCGATTTCAGGCAAGGCATTCATGGAAAAATCATATGATCGTATTTTGATCTGAAATTTTATCAATAAAAAGGCTTCATGGTTATTAGAATGTTCTAAAAATTTCAGTCAAAACGAATGCCTTTTTCCTTAAAATATTGAATGGCTAAAAAATGATCAGAAGTCGGCTTCAACAGCCTATGGATCACGAATCCTTTTAGGCTTTGACTATTGACATCGAGGTCTACTTGTGGGGAAAATATGAGCTCTAAATCGAGGGAACACTTCCGGTACTTTATTTGTAAGTCCCCAATTTATTTTTATTTTGAATGATTTATTATATTTTTAATTACGATTCTTTGAAAGAATAATACAATTTATTTGTGATATATAAAGTACTACAAAAATTTTTCGTTCAACCCCAAGAAGAAAACAGCGTACGCCCGCACTCTCTGAAGTACAAAAGTACAGTGAGAATGGAGTAGAAGCACGCAATATATAGTAGATTGTCATTAGAATTGTCACCTCGTCTGCTTTTTTTATATGGGAAATTTTGGTTTATTTTATTATTGGAAAAATTTGAGACAATAAAATCTGTTAATATCAGGTAAGTTATAGTAACTGTCGTCTACAATCTATTATTGTCCGGTATGATGCATTCTGTGTTCTATTACAGCAAGCAAAGCCTAATGTCGAAAGTATTTTTTTCTGTAATGAGACATTTATACAATGACTTTTGCAATTGAATGTCTGTAGAAATACGAATTCTTTGAAATATTTCATTATCGCATGAACATGCACAAACATCTGTTGTCTCAAAAAGAATTGCTAACCGAAAAATATTCAAACAATAAATGTAGCTACATTCAAAAATTGACGTATTTAATAAAATATCCAAACTTCTTTATGCATTCTTTATTTTATTTTTGAGCTTTGAGAATAAAGAAATGTCATGGAAAGTAGCAACAAGTTGTTTAGACTCATAGAAATGTGGAGAGTCCACGAAAGAAATAGCTTTCCGCATCATTCTTGCTTTTCTGACTTGAGAAGGTGACAGCCCTGGTTGTTATCTTCTTGGATTTAGGCCTAAATTTTTCTTAATTATAAAACTGTACTCGGGGACTCCATACTCCGTGTATTCTCACTGTACCCTCATGCTTCGGAGAGCATGGGAGAACGTCGTTTCTTCGTTATCCTGCTCTCTAAAACTTGTATATTGGGATCAAGTATCTGCTATAATGCGTCAATATATGTTTAAGGTCTTGTACAATGTCTAATTCTTACATGCAGATGTGTTAGACATAATTTTCTAAAATAACTCATGAGAACAATTTTGAGCTGTGATTTTATGTGAAAAGAAAATTGGTTCAATGTACACAGAAAGTCATGATATTTTTATTACTGCATGATGAGATCGAGAAGCTTCATGAACTTCAAACGAGGAATTTCAAGTTGTTTTTCAACTACTATTTACACAGAAACAATTGATACTGTCCTGAGTGATAATTGACGATAGTTTTCACTAAAACATACTGTGCCGATATATACGTCACGGCTCGCTGCTCTTCCTCTTTCCTCTTTCTCTCTATTGTTCTCTCTGTGTCGTCCCTCTTTCTTTGTTTCTGTATCATATATAAGCGTGTGTTGAATGTGCAATACACACACTCTGGATATGTGAAGTAGCTGAATAAACATCATTACCGAGGGTGGCGGTAAGCTACTCAATCCAGTTTGTCGTTACACATACGAGCTAAAATAAGACATTCTAAGTATCATTTTACTAGCAATTATTTCATTCATTCTTATTTGCTTTAAAGTTTCTACGAAGTTTTGTGTTCGACACGTACATTTTTCGCTCAGCCATAACTGAAAATAGTTCCATGTTCACTCATCTCGTCATTGACTGAAGGAGTCTGGATAGACTAATTTCAATCTTGTATTCAACATTATCACTAGTGATCGATCATTGTCGAAAGTTCGACTATTATATAACAACTCACGAAGAGTCAAAATTCATCAAAACAAAAGTTCAGACAAGTGTATCCTACCTTTTATTTTTTTTATAAAATGTAGTCTAATCAAGCCTATATCATTGAGATTTAGTAGGCGGAAATTAGTCGATCAATAACTGTCTAACGTAAATTTTTGCAACTGTATCAGAATTCTCTTGTTCTTTATCGAATTTCGTTTATTTACTATTAATATTTGTATTTCTTTGTTTTTTAAATCTTAGCTATCCTTTTTGTTTGATCAATGTAGTACGAGAAAATTTGTTTTTATTAAATACATTGGCATAGATGACCTTTATTGTTTCTTCGTTCTCATAATCTCAAAAAGTTTCTACTACTGTATATATTGTTTATTGAATTAAATTATTCACTTGAAAAAAAAGCTTTTCTAATTAGTTTATTAATATGTTAAAATGATACTTGAGAGATAGATTCATTTCAAAAAAAAAAAGAAGAGAAAAAGATGATTCTTATTACATATGTATATATATATACCTATCTACAGAAATACATTGAGAACAATGAAAGACACACACACACACACACACAAACTGCAAAGATGATCTCTTATTTTTCTGACAATATGTAAGTCTGACAAAGAACAATAGAAAAAGAAAAACTTCTAATCTGACAGATTGTTTTTTTTTTAAATTTATTGATGTCGATAATAATTCATCATTGGATGTGCATGCCATATCCATTTAGCTTTTTGAGCAAGTATATCATTACGAAGATTTTGAGCAAAACAAATACCCAGTATCTTTTCAAAAAAAAAAAGGATATTATTAAACAAATTTAAAAAAGAAAAATAATTATTCTAGATTGATTTACTTGTAATACAGCAAGAACAACAACAACTATTGCGACTGGAAGAATGTGTCGTTCAAACCATTGAGATGCTTTCGGAAGACATCCATCGGTATAAATCATATGTGTACCCTACAAAAAATATCGAACAAGTAGACTAATAATTTTTGAGTCACACTTCAGCACACAGACACAGTAAGATGCAAAAGTTTCAAATTTTTTGAGCATCCTGTAGAAGCTCAGAGGAGGTCGATGTGTAGCTATGCAGACCACAAATCGTCGTAAACATTCGCGCTTTGAGGAGAAAGTGTCTCGACGACAAAATCTTACTTTGCTGAAAGCGAAACGAGCCGATAGAGATCATCCTTTGAACTATTAAATATAATATCGTCTAGATAACAGAAGACATGGCACAATGCAGGACTTGATTCAATGAAAACACCGATGCAAAATCGTTTGATGACCCAGGTGAACATCTATCCCTGTGGAAGATACAGTATTAATTTGAACGGAGACTGGTTGGGAAAACACTTAGCTCTATGTAATATTAGTGTTAGCATGCGAAAGTAGAAGAATACGAGTGTCAACAGGTCAATTCAACACAAAGGCAAAATCATGCTTTAGAGTAGTTTTAATGTCATGACTCTTATCGAATGGTATTCATTCAAGAGGACAAATATAACGGATTCTCATATTCACTCTGAGAGCAAAGAGTTTTTCATCTTACTGTAACTCTCATGGCTTTTCCAAGTCATAAGTTAAATTCATAATTAATTCCTATTTATCTATTCTCTCCAATTTCTAATATAAACTTACAGCTGATGATTCTAAAGTTCCATAACCACATTGTTTATTATTCTAAAAAATAAATAAACAAATAATTCAATTCTATATTCATAAATAATCATTTACATGAAAATATTCTGCTCGACAACAACTAGCCGGTACACCGCATGCTTCAACACTTCCAACAATTTTTGATGAACAATTAAAATAAATATTACTTTCCCAATTTCGATAATTATTAACACCACAACAATGTAACCAATCACGTTGTATCCAATCAATCATATTTTGTAGATCAGGATCATCACGATAACTTTCAATCATAATCATTAATTGTTTTTCACCTTCGTTTTTAACCTAAACGAAAAACAAAAAAAACAAGAATTTCATGTAACAATACAAACAAAAAGAAAAAAGAATGAAACAAACCTTTTCGCGATAAATAAAAACTAATGTACCAAATGCAAGTTGAGCAAAAAAAATAATTGCCAAAGCAAAACTGAACTACAAGAATACAAGCAAAAACAAAAATTCAAAGAAAGAAATTAAGAATTTTAGAAGAAAAAAAGAAATCTTTCTTACAAAAAGTAATAGACAAGTATTTTCTCTTAATGATCCAACACATCCAGCAAAACCAATACAAAACATAAAAACACCAACAAGAACAAATACTAATGCTGGATCAAAAAATAATGTTCCACGCATTGTTAAACGACCAAAATTATCAAATGTATCTTTTTCAATCCATGCATATATACCAATAGCTGTAATCATAAAACCAAGAATCTTAAATGTAAAAGAAGATATTAAAAGTTAATTATTAGAAAAATATTTACCCAAAAAAGAATATTAAATCCAAACATTGAATATCTAAATAATTAAAAGAAGAAATTTAAAACAAAATATTAAATTTTCATACTTGATACATCGACTAATTTCTGTATCATCTCGTCGTGTTGTACGTACAACTTTTTGAAAACGAGGAGCCATAGAAAATAATTTATCTGAATCGTCAATTATCTGTGTTGATGATTGGATACAAGGTGTTGAAAAATATCGTCGTGTTTCATCTATAATGATATACTTCACGTGAATCTTTTCCAAGGAATTTTTTTATTTTGTATCAAATGATTCTCAATTGGTAAAGTTTTTTTCTTCCAATGATCTAATGAGAATAGATTAGCATATCGATAGATGTCATTAGATAAATCAATTGAACATTAAATCAATCAGACAGCATTTATTTATATGATAGAGATGTGTGAAACAGAATGTTGATTGATGTTATTCGTACTGAATCTAAGAATTTTTGATCTTGTTTATAAATGTAAAAGATTTATTCACTCAATTTTTAATCAATTAGTTCTGATCTATTGTACTATTTCATAAAGACAGAATCTTTATATTGTCATGTGTGCAAATCATTATCGTAATTCCTATTAAAAGAGTTCACCAAGTTAACTACCGTTTAAGTAAAGCATTTTTCTCTTTTAATTTCTTTGTTCTTGTAAATGTGATTTTCGAGAAAAAATAGAAATTTAAATTTCGATTCTCTAGTTAGAAAATCAAATTTAATATCATGATTTGTACATTCATTAGTGAATAGAAAATTTACCAAGACTTTTAAACTGTTTATGGGTCTAAATAAGTGGTGTTCATCAAAAATAAAGTGAAATGTTTTGTTTTTGGATATTTGAAAAGAAAAATAAATATCGAATAAAATGTTTCATAAAAACATTATTAACAAGGAAAATATTTTTTTCACAATTCAATTAAGATAGGAAAAAAAATTCTAACGATGGAAGTGTTCGTATTGTAAATTAATAAGGTTAGACGTATTTGGGTCAAATTAAAGGTCTCAGATATTCAAATTTTAAGGTATTTACAGTCTATGTGAGCTACTCACAATCTGGCATGTGAACGCTCTATTCCAAAAAAGGAGGAATAGGGAGGATTGTCATTGAAAATTTTTAGGAGGATCTGGCATCAAAAAGGAGGAAAATAGGAGGATTTCTGTTTTCTCGTGGCAAATGTATTCTATGCAGCATTTTAAATTATCACGATGCTTTTTTATTGTCTATATGACATTCGATAGATCGCCATCCTTTATTTCCACAACATAAATCCTTGGTTTTACACAATGTACAAATGAATGAATGATAATTTTACACCTTGGTTCATTCATCACTTAACAGGAATATCATCTGAATTTATTTTTTTCAATCATGAAATATTAAATCGTGTTATATGAAGAGGTATCTAACGAAAACGTAGTTATCTAATAACAGTTTTCTTGAAATTATTGGATATAGTCCTCTAACAAAAAATGTATTTTAATTTTCAAGAAAAGTTTTCCTTTAACTCGAGTTTTCGACAATTTCTCATTGTAATCGTCAGAACATGACCATATAGGAATGTTCAAAAAAATAATATACATATGACTGAATTGCAACTTTTTGCTACGGTTGAATTTTTAGTTGTATTTTGTCAATAATTTTCGTTCTGGTGAGCCAATTCAGACGAATTTTTTACATGTTACTGGTCTTTGAGTGTCCCACTACTACACAAAAATTTAGCTCCTACGGTTGCTGAGTTACGAGGATTACACTGTTAAAAAATTGCATTTCACACAAAGATATACTGAGAAAATCGAATTTTTTCAAAAAAAGAGGAAAGCGAAAAAATATAATAAACAGATCATTTTGTACAGCTTGAAATACTCTATCATGTTATATATTTATTGTATTTTATTCTTTCTACATAAGTTCGTATTAAGAACTTCTTGATATGTTACATAAAAAAGTTATTTAATTATAATTTGCTAGAAGGAACAATACAGGAAAAGAAAAAGCGAAAAAGGTTGTGTGATTATTGTATAATGTTGTTCGTCGTTTCTTTTGCACTTTTTTGCTCCTTCTAGCAAATTGTAATTATATTACCTTTTGATGCTACTTATTAAAACTTATAATATACATATATCTCATGTGAAAAAAGTAGGCAAAAACACCCTTTTAGTACTTTTAAAAGTTGTTTTTAAACAACAAATAGTGCTTATAAGTGAATATTTTTATGTAATTTTCATATTTTTTGACCAAAAAGTAGTATTAGATACTATTGAAAGTATGAAAAAGCAATAAAGTTCACTGAGAAAGGTGAAAAACAGTAATAAAATTTTATTTATTTCACTATATCAATATTGAACATACTTTTCAGTGTTTACAAGATTATTAATTACTGTTAATATTAATACAGTAAAATAAATAAAATTTTACCAATATTATTCACCTTTCTCAATAAATTTTATTGCTTTTTCACACTTCCAATAGTACTTAATAGCATTTTTTTAGTCAAAAAAAGTATGAAAATTACATAAAGATGTTCACTTATAAGTACTATTTGTTGTTTAAAAACAACTTTTAAAAGTACTAAAAAGTTGGTTTTTGCCTACTTTTTTTCACAGGGGATATGTATACTTCTTTTTCTATTTGTATATGTTTATTGCATGCTGATGGCTATTCTAAATTGCCAAAAACTCGAAAAAAAGATTGATTTTGGTTGAAAATTAGAACACATTTTTTGCTGCAGTAATAAACTCAATCATTTCAAATATCTTCTGCACTGTAGAATCGCCAAATATTTTTGTTTAAGATATTGAAGATACTGGTTCCACAACTTAAGTGATAATAAGGAGGAATAGGAGGATTCCGACGTAAAAGGGAGGAGAAGGAGGACATGTTTTGAGAAAAAGGAGGAAAAAGAGGAAAAGGAGGAGGTTTCACGTGCCAGCTCACAATTCAAAATTTTAGTAGAATTTATTTTTGTTTTTTCTTGACAATTAGATAGAGCTTATCGATTTGCATTAGAAAACGTGTGTTTCAAATTTAGCAAAATCCAATTTTATGAAATTCGATGCACTCTATCCCACTATCAGGAAAAAATAAAAATAAATTTTACTGAAATTTTGAATTGTGAGTAGTGTACACAGACTGTAAAGATCTTAAAATTCGCATATCACTGTCTGTACACGCCAACCGCCCGATCATATTATCTAATCTTATTAACTTACGATACAAACACCTTCATTGTAAGTGAAAAATCTAATTATTTAAAAGCAATTTGTTCAGAATAAATAACTTGAAATACGGTGTTCAGGATTAAATACGATAATATCATATAATAGTTTGTGTGAAAATCGACAAACATAAAGTATAGTCAGAAAAATTTTTATTTCGAATATTGTTTTTATGAGCAACAAATAAATGGATACTATGTATCCATTGATACGAAATGGACTGGCTCATACGGCAATTAAAAACTCGCTAGAGCTGTTGGAGAACATAATGAATACAAGGTACTATCGACTGTCTTAACCCTTTATCCCCCCATTGGCAACTGGAATTGTCAGTTTTAGAAACGTTGCAGAAAATGTAGAACACATAGTATCAAAAAACTCTTTACACACTGTTTATAGGAAATTTCCTAAGCTACAGATTGGTAAAAAAAATTTTGTATCCTTACTTTGTGCCTAAAATATACGACTTACAAAAGAGGCAATTATGTTATGAAAAAAAAAAGATCTCTTCAGTTTAAATTATTTGTTTTTTTTTACCTACGACAAAATACTACTTATCTTAATGATGTGCTACGCAATTAATTTTTTAAAATCTTTGTTGAATTAAAAAAATATATTATGTTTTTTTTTTAAATCAACAAGCTACTCACAAACGATAAAAACAAGTTTTCATGTCGCTACTCTCTCAATGACAACTGTAGTTGTCAAATTACCGTGCACACAGGAAAGTACACCTGGTCGATATGTTTATATTAGTGGCTTACTGAAGAGGACAATACTCTGTTTCGATACTTGTTCTATTAGTGAGTCTTCTGATATCGTTATGGAGGTAAAGCAAGGGAGAAATGACTGAGTTAAGTGACTTTTAAATCATAAAAGTCACAAAAGTCAAGAAAGTCATGAAAATCATAACTAATCCTTTTAGACCGGATGTTTCCACTTTAAAACATGTTGTCCTATAGGGGTGCGGCATTTTTGAAATAGCCGGCCAGAAGAGCTAAAGTAACATTAATAAAGAACAAAAAATAACGAATTTTTGTCAAGGGAGAAACGACTGACTTAATTCACTTTAAAGTCATGTTAAGTCAAGAAAGTCATTTTAAGTCAAGAAAGTCACGAAAAACATCTGTAAAGGATTATTAATAAAGAATAAAAAGTTATGATTTTTTTTCAATCTCGATGACACATACTCCAAATTTTTGTTTACTTTTTTTCAAAGACAAACGCATATAAAACAGACGAAACGAACAGATACATATATATTGCAGGCAAAATTGGCATATCATTTTGAGAACTTCAGAGCTAACAAAAAACACAATAACGCAAACACGAATGGAGTTAAGAATGATGGTGAGAATGAAAGACAAGATCTGAGTGACAGAGTAGAAGTAATCATAGTGTGTGTAAAGGATTCTTAGCGAAGGTTCGTTTTTCAGTAAGATTATAATGTTATGCAATTATTCAGTCTGATTTTATCCTCAACTTCACCACACTTATTGAGATCTCTCATCTTAACTCAGATTTCGGTCCTCGACATCATCATCATTCGTGATGACGAAAGATAAACGAGATCAAAAAATTAAAGAGTTGTCACGACCAAAACATAAAAACTTACTGGAACCAGACTGGCACCACGAACAGGAAAACAAAGTTTTTTATTAAATTTTCCTTAATTTTTAGCAAACTAAGTCGTAAATTACATCATTTCCTTAATAAAATTGATCACATGAATAGTTGTTAATTTATAAATTCCAAGATTCTAATAGTAAAGTTTCAAGATTGTGATGTTTTCTAAGGCATACTTTGAGTTATGGAAAACCTAATTAAACGATTGGATAGAGATCATCGAATTGTACTTGAGATAAGAATAACAACATTGGAACAAGTTTCTGAATAAATCCTACCCGTAAATAGTCGA